GCTACATTAGTCTGCACGACGTCATCCTCGGGAGAATCGGCAAAGGATACGGAAAGCAAGTGATGCAATAAACTGGGTCCCGGCGTAACGGCCACCAATTTCGTCAGGTTGTCCTCCGCCTTCATGCCCAACGGCATACAAGACGCTGGTAAAACGGGCGCCCCGATCTTGTACAATCTCGCCTCGCTCCACTTCACCTCGAAACTATGCGGATACAGTGGATTTCGAGAACCGTAGAAGTATTCCCTAACGCCCTGATCTCTCGCCTCGATCCTCTGTGTCTGACTCCTCTCGACAACGCCGCCGCTCTTCGGCAAAAAGACCACCTTCACGAAGTCCGGCATATCTCTCACCAATTCGTTGTAGAGTCTCTCCTGATCCAACACCAGAATTGCATCCACCTCGAACGCCTGCGCGGCGTGAGTGAGTAACTTGTAGCCGTCTCCCTTGACCCAACCACACGTATTTATGACGACTCCGGACGCCTTGGCCTTCTTGTTGGCTTGCAGCCTGTCTGAGCAAACCTCCGCTAAACGCGTCACAAGCAAGTTGTACAACGTTACGTTGGTTTGTGGCGTTTTGTGTCCGAAATGGAAGACCAATGGAGCTTGCTGGCTGAAACCCTCAACTATACTGGAAGGTCGTTCCACCAGCAAGGCACCTACGGTGCCAGGAATAGCTATGTGTCCCTGACCGACGTCGAGATCGACGAAAATCGGTCTTCTGCCCATTCTAACGGCATAGTTCAACAATATTCTACAAAGCGTCGACTTTCCCACGTCGCAAGGACCCACGACCATCGTTATCGGACCTCGAGTGTCATCCTTCTCCGCGGTCTCTCTCATCCGTTCCATCGCCGCGTGGCAATTCAGGTAAAGCCCCATAGGCGTCTCCTTAGCTACATAGCTGACGTCCGTCTTCCCGACTAGTTCAACGGTACAGCCTTGCCAAGTGTAAACCGCGACTTTTGCACCGGCGGTAAACTCATACTTTTTCCCTTTCACCAATTCCGTGCCAAAAACTTCCGCCAGGCCATTCTTTAACTGCAATAACAAAATTTCGTGTTACCTGGCAATAAAATAAATGAGTTAGCAATAAATGAAATAAATTTCTCCGAGAGGAGTTGTGTCCCATTACCTCCAATGTAACTTTTTCATTCTTGCTCTCCACCTCGAATCTCAATTCGCAATCCGGATCCAACTTGAATTCTTGCACCACAGACTTTTCATCGGCCATTTCTCAATTATTTTAGGTTAATTACAAAGATGGAATTTTAATTACGCAAAATTCGCTAGCTCGACGTCGAATAATACTTGTCCCAGCTTGCTCGCATCTCGCAATATTTGTCGGTTCTGCGCAAAGCGATTAATGAAACTTTGTAAAATATCTATAAACACGCGAAGCGGCAAACAGCCGGAACGATAATAACAAATTATAACCAATTATAACCTCCAGAACCTAATCCTAACCTAACCTAACCTCTAATCGAAAAAAACTGTGAACGTATTGGTACGCCTGCCAATGGTGGAAATGCGCGAGGGTTGGCACTCGTGTCGCCGACATTTTGCACAAGAGTTGCGTTGCGGTGAGGTCGAAAGGTTTTGCGATTTTTGCTCGGAGTTCCTCGAAGAGCGTATTATGCGATGCAGATTTGCGCGATATCACGTCACCGTCTGTTAAATACGTTCAGTCTGATAGCTGACACGTCACACGTTCATTAGATTTCCGCGATCGAGTGCTCGTTGACCGTGCAACTTCCACGCTCGCATAACCGTTTCCCGCCCGTCGTGATCCAGGTGAGTTGACATACGTCACCAGATGTTTTTCGCATCGAAGGTCAATCAAATTGTCGGAGGCCACTGCTGTATCTCTGATTCTATTATATCGATATCTTCTTATTGATATCTAAAAACAAATTTGTATACATATGTTAAATATATTTCCAGATTTAGAAGAAATCTGAGCATATAATGGCTACAACCGGAGCGTCCACGCGTGTTTCTCGTCTGAGACCTCGTGAACCAACGGTAAGGGCCGTGCCCGAAAAGAAGCTCAAACCCAGAAAAGTTGCTGCTACCAACAGAAGCTCGAAGAAGGTTAACGTTTGTCTGAGAAGCAGGAGCCTGCGTGTGTCGAAGGAAAATGCGTCTCTAAGAAACAGTCAGACACCAGCGATTTCACGTTTACGTCCTCGTCGGAATATAAAAAACTACTGCGAGGACTCGAGATTGTTGCAGCGATATATCTCGCCGAAGCAACAGGACAGCGTGGTAGTGGTGGAGAAGCTGAATTTGCAAGTTGGTAAAAAAGTACCTGTGTACAAAAAACCTGTAGAACCTTCTGAAAAATCCTCGGAAGAAAAGAATGACGTGTACGACTTTAAGTTCGACATTAATGACTCGAGAGAGAAAGCTACTAAGAAGAAGAAGAAGCAGGTAAGAAAAAATATTAACAAAGGGAAAGGCAAAATAATCAAGAAAACGACACGTAAGAAAGTTACTACGCAATCAAAAATAATTGACCGTGAGGTGATCAAACCTCCCGAATCTGATGCGAATCTTTCTGTGGGGATCGCACAGAGCAATCCTTCAAAATTTTCGAGAGCTGTGGAATCGACGAAAGATGTTGCGAAGAAAATTGAAACATCGGAAATAAAGACAAATATTCAGATGCTAGAGGAATCAGTAAACAAAGATACTGGGGAAGAGGTCGAACCACCGAGAATAGACGAGGATATTCAGACGATGGAAAAATCGACGGAAAATATTATGGAAACGGAAACATTAAAAACATATACAAATGTTCAAGCCGTAGGAGAAACAACTTTACCCGACAGAACGTTTGCGGGACAAACGAAAGGAAGCACGAGCAAACCAAGAATTATATCTATTGAAAATGCAAATGATATTGTAGTAACTAAAACCCCACCTAACAATACCGATGACTCACGGCCCTTTCGGCCGAAGAATATATTTGATAATAAAACGTTGAAGGAACACGACGGCACATTTAAATATTCCTTATTGACGAAAACTTTGTCTCCTATTGTGAAGACGGCAAGTAATTTCGATCTTGGAAGTCCCTGGCGACCACCAACATTAACGTTTTCTCAAACTAAACACTTTATTCAGAGTACGCCATATAGGAATTCTGAAACGAATAAAGAAAATAAGGAGAAGAAAAGGAGCACGGAAATGGATAAAGAAAATATGGACGTGAATAAGGAAAATAAAAGCCAAAAAGACTTGGAAAGAAAAACGAAAAAGATCGGTCTTCGCAAAAAGCGTGTAATTCAAAGGAAATTACCAACTTCGGAGAATCAGGCTCCGGAGAAAGTTCGAGCGGCAGCTGTAAGTAAGTCTGCACGACCAGCACCCGCCAGAATATCACTGGGAGAAATAAAAAATTTACAGAGACCGAATGTTAACGGGGATAATAAACAAGCGGTAGACCAAACGCATACTGAAATTGATAAACCTCTCGGGGAGCAAAAGAATAGACAAATGGTGGATTTTCTCAATTTTTCTGACACATTTGATATCTTGTCCGAAACTGAGAGACTGTCAAATATTGGAAATAACGCTCCCTTGTTTATGGATTTAGAACCCACACATTTTTCAAAGGTATTTATTAACGTTATATATTTTTGCATGTTTGTTTATATATATCGTATTACTTATTAATTATGTTTATTTAAAATGTTACAGCCACCCCAGCATTCATATAGGAGAAAACGTGCCGTGAAGTTTGATTTTTCAGAACATAGCGAGGATGAAGAGGAGAAGGAAAATGTCAAAACACGTACAAAGAAAAAGAAACTTACAAAAACAGAAAAAGAGCAGGAGAAAAGAATAAACGATTGGATAAAAACGGTTAATACTACATTCCAAGAAATTGAAGAACATGACTTGGTTATTGAGTAAGAAAATAGATTGGAATTTTCTAGAAGGCCTGAAAAAGTTCAAAGCTGCAAATCAACTAGCAGTTTTTCATATTTCTTAACTTATGTTCGAAACTATTTATGATAGTGATATTTAACTTCACATCTCACCTTTATATTCATTTATTTGGATTTTTTTTTGCACACATGATAATTTGTTATTCACAATAGAGAAGATAATTTTAAAGTATAAATTTAAATTTTAAAACTGTAGTTTAAACTGTGTTTAGAGAAAGCAAGCGTTATTACTAATTTTCCAAGTCCTATTAAAATTTTATAAAAAAAATTATCTTTCAAAGATTTTAATATTTTCTTATATGTACTTTTTATGTTTAGAACTGTATGATAATAGAAATATATGGTTGCGTGTATTATTCATGACATTAATAGCTATGGGATAATGAGGGAGATATTAGGAAGATAATGTTATATAACTATATTGGACAACATTTAAGACCATACTGAAAATTAGTATGTTACGATTAGCGTGTTGTACATAATAAAAATTTTTTTTATTTGTACTTTTTTTCTGTATTATTAATTTCTAAACCCGAATGGTTAACATTACAAACTTGAAAATTGTCATCGATTGCTGTAATGGGATACATAGGAAAAAAATTACTTTTCACTAGCGTTTTATTCCAATAAAAAAAATATAGAAAAAAAATAAAATTTTATTTTCAAATAAAATTTCAAGAGAGGCAAAATAAAGATACTATTAAAGTTCAGAACGTGGCTAATCCAACTATGCAACACATTTTTCAATTCCGACCCTATATATTTAATATAAGGTCTGAATTGAGTAATTCTGCCGATTGAATTAATCAGCTCTAATGATTAAATTAATCGAAATTCAGTTATAGTTGCCTTCTGGTCAATTCCGCAATTACTCTTTTTATATATTTAAATTCTTCTGCAAGCATAAAATAAATAATAAATTATTTTATTAAAGATTGCGGTTTATTCGAAAAAAAAATAGCAACAACGTGGCGTAGCCAATCAGATTGCATCTCCTTCCCATTTGCAATCCTCTTTACCTAAAATGACATTTTACATTTTTATTATAAATTTCAAACTATTTTAATCTCGTAGTTTTGAATAATTTTGCATTTGTTTAATTTCTCAAATTCATTATCGTGTTCGTGGCCATGATTGACTGAAGAAGTTTACCATTTCACGAACTCACGACCAACTGAAAAATTACGCACAAAACACGCGATGTGAACAGCGCTTAATTTTGTCTCCTCGCGATCCTAACCTGTACGTGTCACGCGAAAAGCAACATTTTTAAGAGATAGGTTAATTACATCAAAACGAGAACGATACCGGTGAAACATATGAATAAATGAAAAATGAAGCGGCTCAAAGCGATTATCGAAGACGTAATTGTGCAATCAGACAAAATTCAGCCAATTATTGGTAAGATAAACAGCCCTCTCACAACCTTATTATTTTCTAACCGCATATATTTTAATATTATCAATATTCAAATATAATGTTTTATATTTATGTATTAAAAAATTATATATATGTATATTATATTATATATCTTTTATAATTACGTCCAATTATTATCACATTTTATCTAAATTGTTTATTGTACACAATCATTTTTATATTAACTTAAACACATAATAAGTAATTCTTATGTATAAATTTGTCATATAGTGAACTTCCAAAATGGCGAGCTTAAGGATGAAGAAGTCAAGGAGATGTCGTGCGGCTTGTTCCACGATCAGAAGGACGACAAAACTGTGTTGGCCTTGTCAAATGGACACATTGTTTACAAAGGTTACAGGCCGGATTGTGAGAAGGAGTCAACGCGAACGATGTTGGTGCTCCACAATAAAAGGACAGGCAAAGTACGATTGTTGGAGGCCGAGCGGTGGCAAGTAACTCCAGTACTCGAGAAACCCGGCGTGGACGACAGCAAGGATAACGTGGAAGAAAAGATTTTTATACTGAACAAGCAATTTGGATCTAAGAGAGTTAAACGTAGAACTGAGCAATTTGAGAAGCTGAAAGTGAATGTCGATTCCATTAAGGAACAACTTGAGAAAACAGTGTCAAGTAAGAAAGTCCTTTTCTTCATGTTATCATACAATTGAATTTTCAAGTAATATCCGTTTAAATATGTCGTAATGTCAGATCATTTTTATCACACACAAAAACCTCACCAAGTTATATGTTTTCCGGCAGATGTTGAAATTGACCGGCTAGATTTATCAACTGAATTACAAGCCGAGGACTGTATGTCAAGTGGGATACTACCTCCGTGCAACAGGAATGCGAGTAATGTCAAAGATGTGTACAATGTATATGATATTATTCCCAAGAGTAAATTGGAAACGTTGTATGAGCACGCAATGGAGGTTCTCAATGGGGATGTGGAAGGGTACTTCCTAATTTTAATATTCTTTACCAGTGTTATCATCTGTATTTTTCATTTATACAATATTATTATATACGTATCTTTTTGGTCGTGTAGAAAGGGAAAATTCTTCAAACGCACTTTAAAAGTTGTACAATCGGATCCAGACAATGTGAACAAGATAGCCCTTTTGCTCTACATTGAAATGGTCAACGCGTGGTTCGCCATGCCATTGAAGAACGCGAAGAGACGCGATGTTGTCATATGCCCGATTTCTGAAGAGGTGAATCAGCACATTATCGACACGTACAGCGTGTCCAGCGCGAACGGACGGTGAGTGAGCATCGGTTGCATAAATCGCGGACGAAACTTTAAGGAAATTTTTTTTTTTTTTTACAGGTTGAGGCCGAACACCATGAAGGACAAAGGCCTCGTGCACAGCTTGATTCTCGCACTGACGATATCGAACTTCGTCCTCGACTTGGAGCTATTCCGAATTATGCTGGAAACGCGAACGAGTCTAAAGAAGTTGACGGACCTCGCGAAAATTATCGGTGCAGTGCCCACTAAGGAAGATAAGAAGATCATCGTGCTTAAAGTTCCATTGCCACCGCCGGTGACTCTAGTTAAGAAAGGAAAGAAATCGGCGAAATCGAATCAATGACTTTATTAAACTATAGATTTTTTTTATTTATGTTTGACAGGATAAATCTATTTTTTTTACACTTCCTAAGCCTCTGACTAAAATTAAAAAAGAAATAAAGTTTCGTTTGTGTGTTTTGTACAGTCATGAAATCTATTGATAGTCTCATAAAATGTAAATATCTAAAATATACATCTCTATATTCTTATACCGATACAGATTCTCTTCGATTTTTGTACATTTAAGAAACATTTTTTACAAATTGTGACTTGTGTACTACGAAAAAAATTCAAGAAACATTTTATTATGTGTATTGTAGATAAAGAATAAAAGATAGTTTTTTCGTAGGTGTGCGACGTGCGTGTGCGCGCGCGCACTATATATACGCGCATTCTGCTAAATGAAATGGAATAAGAATAAATGAAAAAAAATTTACATTTAAAAATGTCCTATTCGAAAATAATATTCGAGAAATTATTTCTTTGTTTTTCGGAATTATTTGTACAAAGAATTTATTCCTATCAGTATATTTATCAACATTTTAACTTGTCCTTGATATGGAAACCGATACGGCGGGATCCACAACGAAACAAGAGGTTAGGGAATCGTTTAGAAATTGGTTCGTCTTTCTTAACACGCTGCGAAAAAAAACGAGCCATTTATCACGTCCGCTGCATGATTGCGAAATTGCGATACGGCGAGGAATTCAGTTTCTTAAGAATACATAGAGCCATCGATATAAAATGATAGCCGTATTGACCAGGCGCGCGAGTGGAGGGGATCACGTTCGAAAGTGCATATCGCGCATTCTGGACCGCAGAGATTTATCCGCCGCTGTCTCGAGGAGAGCCAAGATGGTAAGCCCTTCGTCAGATTTGCCGCGAACTCGTCGCAGATTGTTCAGTGTTTGGACAAAAGAATTTCGATCGGGTACTTAATTGGGACGTACAAAATCCTTGGGCGAGTCCTTCCGCGGTGAAAGTGATATGGCGATGGTCAGCCACTTGTTACACAAATCTTGTCACATTTCTATGCATACATCCTGAACGATATTTAAATGAAGATTATTAATGAGGATTATATAAAAGCACTGTGCCACATATGTCGCAAATAACGAACAAAGAGATATTAGGCGAATTATGTTTGATCGTAATTATATAAAAGAATATAAATTATGATAATTTATGGAAGTGTCTTTCTCTGTTGATCCTTATCAGAGTAAACTAACTCCGGAGGAAAGAGAGCAGAACTTGAGCCCGTTGCTGTCGACGGGATGGACTGTCCAAGCGAACAGGGATGCGATCTACAAGGAGTTTGTGTTCAAAAACTTCAATGAGGTATGTCAAATTTAGCTGTTCACAACTGTTGTGGGTTTGTCCAGCTACCTGGCGACGCAATTCGATTTCTAGGCCTTCGGATTTATGACGAGGGTAGCTTTACAAGCTGAGAAGATGGACCACCATCCCGAATGGTTCAATGTTTACAATAAAGTAAATGTTACTCTGTCGTCCCACGACGTGAACGGACTGTCGCAGAGGGATGTGAAACTGGCGACCTTCATAGACAAGGCTGCTACCTCTACCGGCAATTAAATCTCACTTAACTCACTGTTGACCTGTCGCGGCCTGTTGTACATTTATTATGCATATATAATGACAATAACGAAAAAAAAAATATTGTTTGTTATCATTGATTTGTAGCATAAATATTAATGGCATTAATTATATCTTTCTGTTTTTAAATCGCATATATACATACTAATAAATTACAATCCTTTACAATATCCTCCACTAGACATTCATAACTCACTGTTATTCAATTTGTAAGTCACATACGAAAATTTAGGTAGTATAAAGAGGAAAAGTTGTTGAATAAGTAAATAATTTATTCTCGAATAATTTATAAGCTACCGTCTTAAAAAGTTCTTCATATATGTAACACAAACAAATTGTTCCTGCTGTAATAATCATATTTAACTGGCTTTCTGTCTATCTTTACCTATTGCCCAGCCATTTTTAATGACCTTTGTAAGGCCGGGGCCGTTATAGATCAGCACAAGCAGGCCGGCTAGAGTAGCGGCGGACAATAGATTTAGCATCAAGAACGCTACTTTTGGAACTAATGTACCAACCACGATGGGCCGTGCATAGTCGAGAACGATAGCTTCCAATCCCCTGCGTAATAAAATTTATTCTTTCAGATTAATATGCTCCGTAATAGAATATTATACGAAATTAAATTAGAAAAAAGAAATGTTAAACTGTCAGATAATATCAATTACCAATGTGTGTGCATGACAATGGCAGCTGCCAATAATATATCGATAAATTTATTTTCGAAGATCAGGGCGGCGGGTATTAGCGCCAGGAAGGATGCGGACACTATTCTCTCTATCACCCACAATCGTACGTGATCGCCTTGAGCGCTTGCCGCACGAGTTTGGGTCATGCTGACCGTGGATTGTGCAGGCAGCTGAAAGAGATACAACAGTAAAGTACATTTTGTCAACATACCTACCTATTCCTATTTTTCTTAAAAAATAGAAATAGATGATAGAAACAAAATTGGAGTAGAAGTTCTAGAACCGACAACCTTGGACAGAATACGACATTTTGGATAATTGCTCGCGTCAGGAATCACAGAGCGGCTCAGATTCGTGAGACTCGACGTCGACTTGGGAAATTGCGTTGGATTGCAGCTTCGCACAAGTAAACCGCCAGGCTTGACCAATGTCTCTGCAACAGAATCGCCGATCACCATATAATCTTAAAACAATGACATAAAACTTGGCTTTGACAGTAAATAAGTAACAATGATTTGTTATTCGACCAACTGGCAAACTGTTAGTACAGTTGTCATGACATTTTGACTATTGATCCTTTCAAATATAAATCATGAAATCAGTAAAAAGATACAATAACAATATAATAAAGATGTGTTAATATAAAATAAAAAATAAAATAGGTAATACAACAATAAAATAAATAATAAATAAAATGTCAAGTAACGTGCGAAATTTTAGACACTAGAAACTCAGTTAAAGTTTACTGCACGATATCCTCTCGGTTTATCAAAAGATTATGTAAACGCATTTTTTTAGGTTAGGTACGAAAAATTCAGTCTAGCTCGCGAAACGAAGCAAGCGCACGCTTGAAACTGTCACGACACTTGCGCGAGACTTACCGAGCTGTCGAATTTTGCGAAAAACGTTAATGTTAGCAACCCTTCCGAAATTCATTTCGCCAAAATGATCGTTCCAGCCGCGCTTGACGTAACTCCGCTGACCTCGCGAGACAAGACACTACGGATGATTTTAATTAAATCATCCAATTTTCAATGGAAACCGTTCATACGACTCGGCTATCTAACGAAATAAAAAGAGATTTTTCAGGGAAAAATATATTATTATTTATCCAGCTGACAGAGATAAGTTTTAACTTGCAGGTGCAGCTTTACCTGCACCTCTTTACACTTCTTGGTGCTCGCACTGCGTCACCCTTTTGAAAGCGAATCGCTACACTTTCTGCACTCAAGGACAACAAAAACTCGTGCAATGTGCATTGTGCATTGGTCATTGTGCACGCGAAAAAACAGTGGAAGCGGACAAGGAAAGCATCTAGAAGCGTGAAGAATAATATAAAAAAGAAAATTATTGTAAATTCAGCGTGAAATGTTTTGTCGGCCAACGCAGCTTGTTATTGTTCGTCGAACGTGACGAACGAAAAACATGTTTTAAAATATAAACAATCCTATTACCATATAAACAGTATCTATCGTTTGAACATGGAGAGATTCCGGAACCTCGACTGGTACGTGCAACGATTTCAAGCGTCAAAGCGCACAGAATCTTGTATAAATGGATTTTGCAATTTCTATTTATTCTGCTTATGATTACGATTTGTACGATTGGAGTACATTTTTTTTTGTCCATAATTATGGAATGATTGCGATGTGACACGTGCGTCAAACACGTGCTTTGATCATTTTTTTAAATTTGTTTATATTTATATTTTGTACTTATTTTATTTGTATTGATTGAATATGAACATGTGTTTTTGTATATTACTGTTTATTATTGTCGCATTGTTGCAGGTATCCCGCGTTGGAGGACATGATAGACAATGTATTCATCAGGGACGAGAGAATGGAGCGCGAAAGTGCGATGTATAGAATCATGAACGACTGCTTCACAGATCCGTTTGACGATATCAAAAGCGACTATGCCGATGTCGATGTAGAGTTGATTAAAAAGTATCTCCGTGAGGATGGCGAGGTACTTTCCAGCGACACGGAGGACAAGGATGAGCAAGAAGTCGAGCACGGGAGTAACACTCGTGTGCAAAAACACAAGTTTTATGTACCTGGAATAAGAAAATTGCCATTTTACTTTCCTAAAAGGTCTCGTTTGAATAAGGAACAGCAAACTATGTGCCTTCGAGTTTTATTGAGATTATCTAGCAATGAAAGAAAGGGAATGAACGACGAAGAGAGGAAGGAATTGCAAGAATACATGGTGAATAAATATCTCTCATTGAGCATTTTAACATTCTTAATTTGGACTGGTTAAGACAGAAAAGAAAAAACGAAAAACAGTTTAACTTTATTTTTATGTATGAGCAACAATTTTAAAAAACTTCTGTGTTTTGTGTATTGAAATTGGAATGAACTTTTTTCAGGCCTTGCAGGAGACAATATCCGAAGAACAGAAAGAATTTTTAGTGTTTGCAAAGAGCAAGTGGGATGATTCTTTTCCCTGGTTGATCAAATGTAATAAATTTGTCGCATTAAAATGGAAGGCAAAAATGCAGGAATTTAAAAAGTTACCGAGATTTTATGCTGAATCTATGAATATACCACTTTCTGTACAGAAGAATAATTTTAGAATCAAAGCCATTAAAGTAACATTCATCTCTTGTTTACGAGAGGCAAGTTATCGCAACATGATATCGATATTTATCCGACGTACTCAATTTGAATGTGCATTTAATTATTTTATCATTTTTAGGGAACCTTTTCGAAGGTGACATTGCCGAAACTCGATCTGGTAAAAGTTTCGTTATTTACGAATCATGACGAGTTGTTCAGAAGATTCCCTGTGTGCATCGCGCCTGACAATGTGACGCAACATTTCAGATTACCCGTGAGCGAGGATTCATATTGCGAGAGTCTTGCGAGAGAAGCTGATGCAGACTTTGTTATTTCGTCTAGTGGCCTCAAGTGTCTGTTGAACAACATAGATCCGGATTATTCAAACTCGTGGCTCATACCAGTGGTCGTGAAATCGCATCATGGAAAGAATATTGTTTACGTCAATAAGAGATTACCACCAAGCGCCGCCACTATACCGCAAAAGAATACCTGGGTATATAAATATGTACTTAGACAGTACTTCGTTGACGTTGAAAGAAAATCATCAGAAGAGTGAGTATAAGCATATATATCATAAAGTATAATATTGCATAAAAATCAGTGTATATTATGCATCGTGATGAATATTTTAGAACAAAACATATGAAAAAAGAAGACAAATCTGAGAAAGCTGCGAATTCGGACACGGATAGTAACGATAGTACATTTTATAATTATCTTAATAACTTTGAAGAAGATTTGGCTTTATCAGATCCAGACGAACCGGGACATTCAGATAATCCAGCAAATGGCGAAACTGATTTTAAAATGGATATGAAACAAAATGTGTCGTATAAGCTTTTCACAATAGGGCCAGCGGAATCTCCACAGCATGAAAGAATAAAGCACGGCGTGAAGGAATATCAAATGTTGGTTCGTACAAAGACGGATGGGATTGAGGTAAGAGTATTCCCATACTGTTCCTATTAATAATCGGTATCGAATTATAAAATATGAAATTTGTCTTCGTCAGATGTTGCCAAACGGAAAATCAGAGTTTTTAATATTAGCACCGAGGATGGAGCATCAGACAGGACTTGGAGCTGAAGCTGTAACATTGGAGGAAGGCTTGCACCAATGGGCTTCACTGAAATTTAGACCAGACACATCGTTAGCTAGAGGTATTATTTTATAATTATTATATGTATGTGTATTAGTTTATTGGTCTCGAAACAGATTACAATCTCAATAACCTCATACTCTTTTATTCAAAAATTTTAATTCTTTAATCAGCCTCTTATAAATAATACAAGGCATACATAAGGGATGAGGATCAGGATTGAATCTAAGATTTGAATAATCGATCGCTCTTATACAAATGGTCCTATACAGAACGGTTCACATGATTATATTATATTCTACATATAAAATTTTGTATCATTACAGTTAGGATAGAAACTAACACTGCAGAAGTAATACAAATAGAAAGGCTTACAACAATGTCGCTGAGCAATGAAATGAAACGACTTTATAATGTCAAGGTAGAAGATTCTCTAAGCGTTTTGTATAATATAATCGAAGGATTAGCATCCTTGGCTCCTGGCCAGTATATTCTGCGACATGTTCCACAAAATGGACCATTTGCTTATGTTTATAAGCAAACCGAAGAAATTGGGTAAATATAACGAATGTAACTCGACCTGTTATATATGTATACATATATACATATATATTAGAACATAGATTTTATTAACGAACAAATACATATTTGGAAATACTTTTCAGGAAAGATGTCATTGACTTACATACGGTTTGTGAGTCCACGACGTTTCATACGATACCCAAAACACCATGGCCACCCATAGACAATATGATGACAACACCAGCGCTCAGGTGTTTTAAGAGAATGCCTGCGATGTTTAATCCGTTTGTCCCGGGTCAAAAAATGTCCGGTCGACCTAGAGGACGCCCAAAGAAAATTGTCACTGATAATCAAGGTTACTAAATTTTCTAATACATTAAGTTCAAACTTATATTGATGAAGAAATATCGATTGATAAATTGAAATGTGGTAGAACCAATGTATTATCCGAGTAATATTATATCTGAGTATTCTACTATTTCAAATTACGTTGAACTGATAATTTTAATAACGTATTTATATATACTTTATTATTTTTTATTTATAGAGAATTTAATAATAATACAATATTATCTTCTTCCTTTCTTACATGAAGAATATTTCATGCAATATTCTTATTTTATAAAGATGTGCCAATGTCAAAATTTTGTAACACTAAAAGATGTTTTTTTTTTCAGACAAATTGTCTGAAATATGAAAAGAAATAAAATTAATGAGGTCAAATTTGTATGAAAATTGACAACAATTTAAAAGAATTTGAAAAGAGAAAGTATAAAAGCAAAACTATTATGTATATTATATATATTATCCCCAATAGTAGATAAGTCTGTTGAAAAAACTTTTGTATAGGTCTGGCAAATTTTGTCGATAGAAAGTTACAAATTCACGGAGAATTTGTCGCTGTCGATAGAATGCTGATAGAAATATGATAAAATTTTGTCAAAAAAGATGATCGCGAGAAAAATGGAACTACAAGTTTACATCAGATTAACCTGATTAGATTAACATTTTAGATTAACCTGTGTTCAATAAGTGTCAATTTGCTGTAATTTCTATTGGAATTTGCCGTCAACTACTGGTTAATCATTTGTTTACTAAGATTCTTTTACTACCTACATATTTAATATCACGTATTTTATCCGTATTTTTGTATAATCTCTTAAAATAAATGTACAGTCGCCGCCAATGATTCCTTTCCTGGGATAAGGGGGGAACATAAGAATACCTCAGAAAAGAAATCATTGGCGGCGACTATACATATGAAATTGCGAGTATATGGAAAATTTTAAAAAAATTTGTCCAATAATTTGATTACCCAAACACGTTTCTATCTCCTCTATTAATGTATTCTATTTTTCGGATAATAAAGGTTCTACTTAATTTTTATTATTAATTTTGTATACATGTGTAAAATATGCAATATGTTTAAAATACTGAAACAATATCCTCTCGTTTTTAGTTCCTACATCTGTCCGAAGAAGCGGTCGGCTGAAAGAAACGAATAAAAAGTTAAAAAAGAGAAAAGGCAGCATAATTATCTAGAAATGTCTGTTTTAAAGAGATTTGTTTTCCAAAGTTTGTTTATTTTACAATGGAATCTCCGTATTCTTCAATCTTTCCATTTCTTCTTTTTGGCTGCTCTCATTATTTGCATCACATTTATGCATATTTAAATTGAAAATGTGTGTGCACAATTAATTTAAAATAATGACATGTTCATTTTATATGTGCGTGATCAAATATAAAATAGTGGGAAAGTAGCGTGAGAGGAAAAGTGATTAAAAATAAAACAAAAAATATTTTCAATAACTTTAATAATTAATTGGCAATTAGAACCAGACGCAGTAATTCATGCGCTGAAAAAATATTTTCTTTATATGTGCAATTAACGTACAAAGTATAGTTATAACTTCATTGATATGTAAAGACTATGGAAAATACTGTTAATTGCCGATATTATGGACATGAACCAAACAATATTCATATCCGTGAAGTTTTCTCCGAGACCACATTATTTATTCTAATTGCATGAGCAGAATAAAAATGTTCTATCGACTATCTTTCACTTGTCTTTTTACTTTGTACGTAGTGTAACAACAAATGCGAACAGTAAAAAAAAACAGTAAAATTCGGAGTTTACTTTTATTGACATTAATCTGGTTCATATGGATATTTGATTGTATATATTTGTAGTTTGTTATATATGCAGAATTAATAATACACAAATGAACTTTTTCTTCTAGTTTGATAAACGTATATGCTTTATGAAAATGTTTTAAATTGTAATATTTTAATTTATTTTATAAACTGTTATATCTGTAAGTATGCTTAGATGTACACGCAAACATACACACATACAAATATATTAATTTTTATTTATACATATATGTGAACAAAAGGTGAGGAAATAAATAAATCGTATAGAATGTTTTTTTTTACTTTATTTTCATTGATTTCTCAATTATTTCTCACTCTTTTACACTTTGAGATTCTTTATGTAAATCTTTTGATAAAAATAAGAATATATAAAATATAATTTAATTAAATATAATTTATGTATATGTGAACGAGATTGGAACGCAGAACGTCATAAAGTTTTACTGGCCTACTTACAAAGTAAAAATTTCAAAAAAGTATTACAAAAATGATAAGTATTCAAAAATGCAGCTATGTACCTTTTCTAATTCCTCATTAGTACACTAAACAATATTAAGCTGGAATCCATGTAGAAATATATAAAGTTGTTTTTCGTAGATAATGCATTAATAGGCAAGTGTGCACCTGGACCCTTAACAGCTTCATCAAAATTATGTGGAGACCAAGGAAAGAAGTGCCTTCTTGTAATCTCCCGAAGTGTCTCCCTGTAACATATATATATATGTACTTGTTAATAATTTATTGCAACCGATTGAAAAATATAATTTAGATGACAGAACGAATTTTTTGGAAGCACATAATTTGGAATACGTACAGCTATCCAGCTCTCCAATGACTTTCCGTAGCGTTCTTCGAATGCCTTTTTAATATCTCCCAAATCGATTTCACTTCGAGACACAATGATACGGATTAGTGTCCGATCCTTCGTACCTATGCCGTGCATACTGGCGTACAGACGCTCAGCGAAAAATCCAACTTTTGACTTGACGCATTTCACTGTCGACCAAAAATTAAGATGATTTGTAACGTTACATGTATCGATTATACGTTAATGCAATGAAAAATATATGGAGAAATATGATAAACTGATAAGGGGAGCATTCTCTTTCCATGCTGTAGAGTTATACTACGCTCATACGGCATTTTCAATCCGGATTTTGTATAGGTATGTAGATTATACTACATTTGTGTGTGAAATATACAGATGTAGTAACAAATGTTTTTGTATGTTATATGTAATAGTTGCCATGCAACATTGTCAGGAGATATATATATAATAACATAATATATACAAAATTCAATACCACACAGGTATTGAACACACCATTTTCATGCAATTTATGAATCAAATTACGTCTCTTTAATAATTATCACACAATAATAGAGATATTCTTATCTTTTTCATTAAAATCAAAAGTTGTACTAGTATTTTAAGATTAAAAAGAGTCAGGAAATTAGATTATTACACATCAATAAAGAACAGAGGATGAAAAAAGTTTGGGGGGTGTGCCTACACTTCACGCTACTAAGTGTTGTCGGGTACATATTCGTGTCCAAAAGTGTTTAACTCTAATTATCTGACAATCACAACAACAATCATATTAATATTTTTACAAACGGGTAAACAAAAGCTAAGTAAAATCTTGCTGCAATAACTTGCCTCTGCCCTGCGAAAATATTTTTCATTTTACAAAAGTTCACAGAAAACGTAAATGTCTAGGTTGTCAGGTATTTACGAAAAGTTCGACTCATGATATCGTGTTATATTGGGATTATTGATATTCCGTTGCGTTCAAAAACTTATAATTTCCTCGCATTGAACTGCTATTTCAACCGCTCATGTTTCACGCTGGAACGCACAATTATTCTCGTCTAAGCACAATTAAAAGGGAAATACATATCAAACAAGTACAATTGATTCTGGGCACGCGTGTTTACTTACAAGAAACATGAAACATAAGGGCTAGTCACGTTATGAAATTAGTAGCTGTAAGTAATTTGTAAATAAGAATGTTAATATGGCATACTCGTGACAGTTTGAATAAATATGTAAATAATTATTTACCTATTCCAAGTAAGCCTTTCTCGATGTTGCCAGAAAATTCCTTCTTTATGGCAACCTCTACGTCATGTCCCGATAGTTTCTCATACTCGATAAACGTTTGTCGCAGTTGCTGATAGCTGCGAGATACCAAGATTGCATTGAATTGAGATTCGTCTGTTCCCCATTGTTTTTCACCTGTGTCAAAATTAAAAAATGGAACATTGCGCATCACGAAATACATTTAAAGCGACCAAACATTTCAATTTTTCAATCAACAGATAAAGAGAAATTTTCTAAAGGAGAACTCGATGAAAAAATTTCACGACATACCAGCTTCGTATAACGCTTGAGCATCAGCGACCGCTTGAGCCTGATCGATCGCTTGATTTTCATCTCTGTTTGCCTGCACGAGGGATACTAGCAATCTCTTGAAATGGCCCGATGTATCGCCCTCCAAATCGCTCTCAAGGCTTTTGCCGTACACTATTCAAAATAATGTATTTCTTAATAGAAGAAAATCTAACTATATAAGCACATAATACAATCGAGATAATAAAAATCTTACAATTTTCGTAAAACGTGGCGATCGTACGGATGCCATAGTTGCTGAGAGTGCACAGAATCTCGACAATTGCTTCCTCATCAGTACCCATACCGCTAATCGCGTCGTGCAGCTCTTTGGCATAGTAATGGGGCAACGGGGTCATAAGGGCAACAATGACATCCTCCAGTTTTCCAGTCAGCTCGCTCTTCAAATCGCTGATCAGATCTTTTCCGTACATGGTCTTGAACGCCTCCGCGATCTCCAGTCTCTGTACAATGCCTCTCTTTGTAAGCACGTCGATAATCGCCTTCTCGTCCGTGCCGAATCCCTTCATCGCTTTACGCAAGATAGTGGCGTCCGCGTTTGCATCGAATGGCTCGGCGGGATACACAGTTGGAGTGCACTGAAACGCAACAAGTCAAATTAGCAAAATTGAAAACACAAGTCAGACAATCAAAAATTTTGCCGAATTACCAAATAGAATTATTATGAGTTGAACAAAAATTCTGATAATTTAACCAGCAGGATTGCTTAAAGCACAAAAACATCTAACTATATATAATTCATTATCACCAATCTAATCTTTTTACTTATAACAACATACATCGATAACAACAAAAAATTGATAATTTTATCAAAATGCTCTAATAGGTCACTTGATAAGTTAATCAGAGAGATTAGTCACAAAGTAATCTTTTCACATGCTTTGTACTTATAAAAAAAATTTACCTATACTTATAATTATACAATTAATTCATATACTTATATTTTTTTTATTAAAAAAATATTACGCTCTAAAATAATGATTATAAACCGGATATATCACACATTCAGAGAATCATATTAATCTCAAATACATAAATTTTAATCATATAAAACATTTAAAAGGATCAGAGACAAACTCCCACGGCATTGATAGGCATTTAAGTATATTTTATTTAAAAAA